AGGTCACAGAGCCCAAGGTGGGTTTTTTTGGTTTGTTTTAGCAGTGTTATTGAGATATAATTCACATATCATATAATTCATCATTTAAAGTTACAATTTATTTTTTATTTTTTGTATGTTGTTTTTTAAAATTGTGATAAGGCCCAGCATAGTGGTTTATGCCTATAATCCCAGCACTTTGGGAGGCCAAGGTGAGTGGCTCACCTGAGGTCAGGAGTTCACCTGGCCAACATGGTGAAGCCCCGTCCAAAGATTACCCAAATATGGTGGCATGCCCCTTGTAGTCCCAGCTACTCAGAAGGCTGAGCAGAAGAATCACTTGAACCTGGAAGGCGGAGGTCGCAATGAGCCAAGATTGTGCCACTGCACTTCAGCCTGGGTGACAGATCGTGATTCCATCTCAAGAAAAAAAAAATGTGGTAAAATATATATATGACATAAACCTGCCATTTTTTTTAGTGTATAATTCAGTTACATCAATTACATTCGCAGTGTTTTGCATCCATTACCCGTTTTCCATAACTTTATTTCATCACCTCAAAAACTATAACCATTAAGCTCTAACTCCCCATTCCCTCCTTTCCTAGTCCCCTGGTAGCCGAAAATCTACTTTCTGTAGCAGCTAATTTGCCTATTCTAGATACCTCATGTAAGTGGAATCATACAGTATTTGTCCTTTTGTGTCTGGCTTCTTTCCCTTAGCATAATGTCATCAAAGTTCATCCATGTTGTAGCATATGTTAAAACTTCTTCCCTTTTTATGGCCGAATGATGACCTATTGTGTGGATATACCACATTTTGTTTATTCATTCATCTATTGATGGACACTTGAGTTGTTTCCACCATTTACCTATTGTACAGAGCCCAGGTTTTAACTAGCATGTATATTACAACATAAGTGGAGAACCACCCCAGAATGGGATCTCCTGATCTCAAGCTTGGGCATCAACCATGTTGCAGAGAACCAGTACCCTTAGTATTGAGAGTCAGGCTGACCTGAGTTTTGAAATACAAGTCTATCCACGTTAATTGTGGGACCTGGGTCAAGTTATTTAAGTTCTCTGACTCTGGGTTTCTCAGTCTCCACTATCCAGAGGTAATCACAATAATACATTTGAATATTCCCATGAACATGAACTTCCCGTGTTCTATCATGGGAAGTTTTCTAAATCCTTTATCTTCTCAGTTATCATGACAGCCTATGAGAACAGGTACTAGTACTACTTCCCTTCTTCCTCCTCCTCCTCATTCGATGAGGAAATTTGGCCGAGGTCACATAGCTGGTAAGTGGCAGACTAGGGACTTCAAATCTAGATCTGCCTACCAATTATACCAATCCTTCATGCAAACCATGTGTATATGTATGGGCTTGTATTATATATATATATTTTTTACTTGTTTGTGCACTTTCTTCCATCTTTATAGACAGGTCTTTTCCATTGCTATTTTCAATGGCTGTAATGGGCCATTTTATAGTTATTTAGTCCTTAGATTTGAACATTAAGGTATTTCCCCTCTGCTAATTTTTTTTTTTTTTTTTTTTTTTTTGGAGACAGAGTCTCTGTTACCCAGGCTGGAGTGCATTGGTGCAATCTCAGCTCATTGCAACTCCCTCCTCTAGGGTTCAAGAGATTCTCCTGCCTCAGCCTCCTGAGTAGCTGGGATTACAGGCATATACCACCACGCCCAGCTAATTTTTGTATTTTTAGTAGAGACAGGGTTTCACCATGTTGGTCAGGCTAGTCTCAAACTGCTGACCTCGTGATCCAACCACCTTGGCTTCCCAAAGTGCTGGGATTACAGGTGTGAGCCACCGTGCCTGCCCTCCCCTCCACCAATTAAAAAAACCTTTATCATCCTTATAATACTTAACCAGCAGTAGATTCAATATTTGTTAGAGTCCCTTGCCTGCACTGGGATGGCTTGGACACCTTCATTCTAAAATGTTCTGAAGCTTTAGGGAGGAAGGAAACCCCAGAAACTCCTTGGTTCCTGTGTTGGATCACCCACCAAAGATCTGAAGTCATGCCAGAGTCAACCAGCCTTCCTGCTGACCCTCATTCCCAGATTTCCCTGGTTTTGCATCAGTGCAATTGAAAAAAAAGATTCAGACTGACAGGCAACCTTTTAGTGTTTGAAGGTAATCTGCTCATCCCAGACCACTGATCCTCATTAAATATAGTTAGTTACTGTTCCTCAGAATGAAAAAGCTCAATTAGTCTAAACTCTTGCAGCTTTCTTGTTTTCTTCCTTCCTTTCTTCCTTCCTTCCTTTCTTTCCTTCTTTCTTTCTTTCCTTCTTTTCTCTCTTTCTTTCTCTCTTTCTTTCTTTCTTTCTTTTCTTTTCTTTCTTTTCTTTCTTTTCTTTCTTTCTTTCTTTCTCTTTCCTTTTCCCTTTTCCTTTTCCTTTCCTTTCCTTTTTCCTTTCCTTTCCTTTCCTTTCCTTTTCTGACAGGGTTTCGCCATATTGGCCAGGCTGGTCTTGAACTCCTGACCTCAGGTGATCCGCCTGCCTTGGCCTCCCAAAGTGCTGAGATTACCACGCCCAGCCTCTTGCAGTTTTCTTTTGGTATTTCAGTACTTGTAACCAGGTTGGGATGCCCTGTTCTCCTAAATAAACTTTGCCTGTCATTCACTTCCCAAGAATGAGTACAATTTTTAGGAATGAGAGGGCAGGAGGGGGGAGTTGTTTACATTAGCATTTGCCAAGTTTTCACTGTTTATCTTACTGGAAAGTCAACAGTGACTGTTAACCTCCTGCATAATTAAAATCTGGACTTTGTTATGGTTCTTAAACTTGTGGTTAAATCTTTCTGATTTTTAGAAGGCAAAGAGATGGAGAGTAAAAGGAAGATAAAGTATGGCCATTCAGGAGACTGAGGTACACAGACACCTGGAGCTGCTTGTAAATTGGCAGGTTCATTGCAGCTGGTGGAACGGATGATAAGGGAAGTGTGTAGATCAGAGTCTCCTAAGGTACTTAGTTTTATTGAATAAAGTTAAGTAGACCTTTTGAGCTGATCACATTCCCTTGGTGAAGCTGGAGGGCTGTGAGATTTCTTTTTACGAAAGCCTTCTGCTCTTAAATGAAGAGCATTGTTCTTATTTTAAAAATAAGTACGTGAACTCCAATATAATTAACAAAGCTCTATCTTGTATGATCATTAATTTACTCTTAGTAGAAAAGAACTGAACAGTATGAGGCACAAAGAATGAGGAAGAAACAGTTAAACATGAGAAGTGGCTGAAGGCATACATTCCAAAGCACCACTCCTTGCCACGTCCCTCTGGTAGATATGACCCCAGATCATCTGATGAATCAAGGGATTGTTTTTGTACTGAAGATAGATTTCCTATAGCAGAGACAACATTGTTTATACCCCAGATTGTATTCCTTACCTTTTTTCCTATATTGATGTCAGTTATTAATGTTCTTGTTGTTTGAGACTATGCACTTACTATATGCATGTCAACTTCACATTCAGTTTTTATAATGAACTAGGTGATAGTTTTTATTTTTATCTGAGGAATCTGAGGCTGGCAGAGATTAGGTAAGTTATCCAGTGTTGCACAGCTAGTAACATTTTCAGCTATAGGACTTAAAGGAGAGAAACCAGCTATTTGACTTTCAGGTGAAACTTATTGAGTCACCTTTCACCACCATACACATACATTCTGGAATTACCTCATCTGTAATACTGATACAAGAAGGTCATTTGTTCTTTTTCTGTCCATACCCTTTTCAGTGACCATCTCTTCACTTTTTAGTTCTCAGGTCTTTGGGCACTAGGAATTACCTGTAGATAATCAGGTCCTTCTGTGACTCAGCATTACTACCCCAAATCTGGGCTGGAAAAATAAATGATTGTGATACTCAACCAGCATTTGCCTCACAGCAGGTGCTTAGTAAGTGTTTGTGAAAGACAAACACTTGTTAACCAAGATGAGTTAAAGTGTGAGAGACAGTAGCCCTGATAAAATTGACATTTTTTGATCTTGTGGGCCTTATTTATTCATGCTGGTCATAACTATACTTAAGAGTTAGCCTCATTTTGTTAGTTGTAACTGGAAACTGCCCAATTATTTCATCCATCTTGTAGCCTTGTGGCTTAACACTCTCAGAAAACATTTTTTATTGACTGCGATCATAGAGTATGCAGGGGTATTATCCTTCAGTGGCAACGTGGAACCTAGGTTGCCTCTGAACACAAGGGAGGTGAAGGAAAGCACTTCTGAGACAACACCAAATGTTTCTGGAAGTTGGGTTGGGTTTTCATTTGCCCTCGATTTAATCCAAGGCCACCAGATTTATAAAACGTGAATGAATCAAAGTAGGAGAGTTTGGAAAAGGAGGGCACATTTGAGATTTCCATACTTTATTGCTAGCATCTTTGTTACCCATGGAGAGACAGTTATGGGTCCATGGGTGGCTTTGCTTCTGTAGGTTTTTCTTGTTTCACAGTAATTGGCAGTAAGTGATTGATCTAGCCTTCCTTAAAGAGATGATCAAATTCCTTGGCACAGAGAAATGTTTAGCAGCCTTCTTCATATCCATTGCCATTGTGGTGCCTGATACACCTGGTACTAGTGAATAAGTACTGATTACTCAAAGAACTGTAGAACAGATGCTATGGAATTTCTCTTCAGGACTGATAATAGTATAATTTTTGCCTGTATACAAATCGGGTTTTTTTTTTCCCCCCACCAGAACACCAGGTTAAATTATTTCAAGTTTATAAAAATTGATTTGGCCAGGCACAGTGGCTCATGCCTGTAATCCTAGCACTTTGGGAAGCCAGAGCGGGTGAATCACAAGGTCAGGAGTTCAAGACCAGTCTGGCCAACATGGTAAAATCCTGTCTCTACTAAAAATACAAAAAAATAGCTGGGCGTGGTGGCTGGCACCTGTAATCCCAGCTACGCGGCAGACTGATGCAGGAGAATCACTTGAACCCGGAAGGCAGAGGTTGCAATAAGCCGAGATCACGCCACGGCACTCCAGCCCAGGAGATAGCGTGAGACTCCATCTCAAAAAAAAGAAGTTTGTTTTTAGCTTAAAATTTTCATTCTGTCTTCTGAAAAACATAGAAAGTCAGTTTGGAGGCAGTAGTGCCTTGTCAAGAATGTAGACTCTGGAAAGAGATTCTTTAGATTTGTATCCCTCTACCTGTAAACTGTATGACCTTGGACAAGTCACTAAAACTTTCCAAGCATCAATTTCATCTTCATCTGAGCAAGGTAGAAATAGTAGTATCTTGTTCAAAGGGACTAAGGGGAGATTGAGACATTATGCATGTGAAGAATACTGTACACATTTGTTCTGGTTTCCAGGGATATATTAACATAATTTTAAAACAGAATTTCAGTCATTGATGTTTTAGACATTCCCTGTGGATAGAGCAAGGGCAAGTAGCTCACGGCTAGCCAGTGAGCATAGATGGGGAACCAGAAGAAAGGGGGTAGAGTTGCTGAGTTCTAGAGCAGGAGAAGCCTTGGGTGAGAGGGGGAGCTCAGTTCAGACACACAACTTCATTCTGGAAATCCTCACATGGCTCATAGGCCAATTTGCTTATGTGTGTGTCTAGATTTGCGTTATTTGTGCTAGGAAGTATATTTTGGGGTTCTGATTCATCAGTTTCCTAGGTCAATGCCAATCTCTTTAAAACTGATAACTATGACAAATTGTTAGTTTCTGCCTGTTTTCTTTTTCAAGGACTGGAAGGAACCTTTGCAGATTTAAGAAAATTGACATTTTTGGGCCAGCCACAGTGGCTCGTGCCTGTAATCTCAGCACTTTGGGAGACTGAGGCAGGCAGATCATGAGGTCAGGAGATCAAGACCAGCCTGGCCAACATGGTGAAACCCCGTCTCTACTAAAAATACAAAAAAATTAGCAGGATGTGGTGGCGCACACCTCTAATCCCAGCTACTCGGGAGGTTGAAGCAGGAGAATTGCTTGAACCCAGGAGGTGGAGATTACAGTGAGCCAAACCACTGCACTACAGCCTGGGTGACAGTGTGAGACTGTCTCACAAAAAAAAAAAAAAAAAAAAGAAAAAGAAAATTGACATTTTCTTAAAAGTCAAGGAAGTGTGTTAAACTGTCAATCATTGGGTGGATTATATAATTCTCAAGTTTATGTCCTCTTGCTAGTTGTAAGTTACTTGGAGGCACTTTGTAATATCAGTTAATTTTAAGGAACTTTTCTTTTCTTTTTTTTGAGACAGAGTTTCACTCTTTTTGCCCAGGCTGGAGTGCAATGGCGAGATCTCGGCTTACCACAACCTCCGTCTCCCAGATTCAAGCGATTCTCCTGCCTTAGTCTCCCGAGAAGCTGGGATTATAGGCGTGTGCCATGTTGCCCAGCTAATTTTTTATTTTTAGTAGAGACGGGATTTCCCCATCTTGGTCCGGCAGGTCTCGAACTGCCAACTTCAGGTGATCCACCCACCTTGGCCTCCCAAAGTGCTGGGATTACAGGCATGAGCCACCACACCTGGCCAGGAACTTTTCTTGAATATTTTCTGTGTGCCAGACGTAGGTGCTAAGGATAGGTGATTACAGTTTTGTGAATGACTTTGACACAGAAAAAGGTTTTCATATAAGCAGTAGTTGCAGTATTCAGGGTACACCTAGGCTGTTTTGGGAGGTATAAGAAAGGATATCTGGTCTATACTAGATTTTCAAGAGAGCTGTGTGTCTTCATGAAGACTCCTTAAGACAGCACCTGTCCCAATAAGAGTCCCAACCAAGAAATTGAAAGTTCATTAAATCAGCTTCATTAACTATCAGAGAAATCTACATTAAAATTATAGACCTTAATATTTTATTTTTTAGATACAGGGTGTCACTATGTTTGTCTAGGCTGGCCTTGAACTCCTGGCCTCAAGTGATCCTCCCACCTCAGCCTCTGGGGTAGCTGGGATTATAAGCGTGTGCCCTGTTTTGTTTTTAAGGATGATTCCTAGTATTGTTATATTAAAAATTGGTACAAATATTACTTACTACTTTTGGGATTATACATTCAAACAGCACAGTTAGGTGTATTGAGGTCCTTAAAAATGTTCATTTCTGAAAGCTTGGCAAGGTCCTGGGAGGCTGAGGAGAGGATCACATGAATCCAGGAGTTGAGGCTGTAGAGTGCGCACTGATGATCACACCTGTGAACAGCTGCTATACTGCAGCCTGGACAACATAGTGAGGCCTTGTCTCTAAAATAAATTAATAACTAATGAATGAATGTCTGCTATATAACATGCACTATCTCAAAAGAGATCATCTCTTTTTGTGGATAGAGATGTACCTAAGCAGCAATTTCATTAAAAAGACACCTGTGCCTCCCCTTACTATCATAACCATCCTTCTCCCTTGCTACCTTCCCTCTCTCACCAAATAACAGATGTGTGCCAGAAGAGGTGTCTGTGAGTGACAGAAGTTTTACTGAAACACTATTTTTGTTTATAATTTTTTATTTAAAAAGAAGTTAATTTTCAGCTGAATCATAGATTCAAGTTGCCTTGAAGATGTAGTTCCTAAAATAGTTTTTTATGTTAGAAGAAATTTATTTTTCTTCCTTTTCTACTCTTTGTAGTATTGTCAGTGAAGCACAAGTTGTTGATATTTTTCATATATCATCTCCATCTTCTAAACTTGCACCTTTTCAAGTCCTCTTTCACCCCTACTCAGTGCTCTTACACATACAGCATGTCTCCTAACTAGTTTTTGTAGTACTTGTTTCAAAACTGTCTCATGGGTATGCTTTTCTTTTTATATAGATTTTAAAAATAAATTTAAATATTTATTATAGGAATGGTACATGCTGGGAGTCCCAGCTACTTAGGAGATTGAAGGAGAAACATTTGAGCTCAGGAGTTTGAGGACAACCTGGGCAATATAGCAAGATCCATCTCTTTAAAAAAAAGTGTGTGTGTGTGTGTGTCACCATGATGTAGAGAAGCAGATCAGAATTTTTATGTTTTCAAAATAACCCCCGTGCTGTTCACTTACCCTGAAGGCAGTATTTCTTTTTTGTTTGTACAGATACCTGAACCTGTCTTTTCTAACTTGTTAAGAAGTAAAGCATTATAGTTTTTGGGGAAGGTGTTTGTTAGCTGGACAAAACCATCACGGTAGACTCGCGGATAATGTAGTGGTTAAAAGTATGGGCTCTAGAGCCACATTGCCTATATGCGCATCATGGCTTTACTCCTCTTAGCTGCACAGCCTTGAGCTTGTCTCCGTCTCTTCAAGCCCTTAGCATCTTCCATTTTTGATGTGGAGATCATAATAGCTGTACATACCTCATAAGGATATTCTGGAAATTAAAGAAGTTAAAGTCTGTGAAGTATTTTTCACAAAGCATATACTGTATAAACATCCTTATTAACATTTGACATGGGATAGTGCCAGAGATGAGCCACACAGTCATCCTCATGTATAATACCGAAGCCCTGTATAATCTAAATTATCTAACACAGAAAAGATGGTCTGGGACAACAAAAGAGGACAGACAGCATGTTTCCGCACTAGAAAAAGCGGGGCGTGTGGTGTATAAAAGGAAGGGCACGGTCATTCAGGAAGCTTACCCAGGTCTCTAGCAGAGTGGGACTGAGCAGATTTTCTTGTGGTGTTTATATGGCATAAAACCATTAGTTTCTGAAAATACAACTCCTGTTAAACTTCCAGACTTGATTGCAATTGTCAAGAAATCCAGGCTCGCACTGAGGCTGGCAGACACTTTGAATCTTCAATCTGTGAATGCCTGGGAATTGACTTGCTTGGGGAAACTCTGGGTAACCCTCATCCCAGCAGCTGCAGGTCATGGGAAGGAAGAGGAATAAAAATGTTCCATGTGATGGGTAAGAGTAGGTAACAGAAGTGGCTTAAGTTCCCAGAGGAACAGTTTTCTTCCTGCTCATGCTCAGGGTTCCCTTCACCTCTCAGATTAGAGAGCAGATCCTAGACTGCATCGCATGCATGGTTGCTTTGCCTCGGAGACCTTGTTAGTAAAGGAAGAAAACAACAATCAGAGCAGTGACTGGTCAGAAGAACAGCGGAAAATCATTAAATGGAGAGAAGGTGACTATGGGCCAGTTGAATCAAGACCAGCTTGCTTTTGGAATTTCCTTGGCATACTTATTTTGGGATCTGTTTTGGATCTTGTTGCTTCTGCAGTATGTATTAGAGAAATAGTAGAGTGGGGAGACAGCGGAAGTTAACGTCAGTCCAGCTGAGAACCTGCATTTGAGTAGTAGAAGTAGGGATGGGAATGAGAAAGACAGAAGATGTCTTTATCATCAGTAAATGGAGATCGTGAACATGGAGAGGCAATGAAGTGCAGAAACGAAGGGTCTGAGCTCATGACCTTGATTGATTTACATTCTGGCTGTATGACATACTGTGAATAATTGGATATTTAACCTTGCTGTGTCTCAGCTTTCTCTTAAGGTAAAAGGGGCTCCTGCTAATGCCTCCCATGAAGATCACTGGTGCACAGAATGTGCTTAGTAGACACGAGCTCCTACTGTTGTTATTGCTGCTACCATCACTATTGTTATCTTTGTCATCTTTATTGTTATAGGACTTAGCAATTATTTGGATATGGGAAGTGATGGGAGCTTTAGCCTGAGTAAAAGGGATAAAGAAAAATGTTGGAGGTAAGAAGAGGAATTAGTTTATGAATGACAATAAGTGCACTTCTCGAGTTGAGTTTGATGAGTTTAGGGTGTTTATGTTGGAGCAGAAATCAAAGATATACGCTTATGAATTATCCTAAATAGAATTAATAGTTGAAACAATGGAAATGACCAAGGTCCATGATAGAAGACACAAGTAATGGAGAGCCGGGCCAAGACTTGATTGCTCCTCATGTCTGCGGCACATAGTATAGTTGGTTCCCTGTACAAAACACAAAAGTTGCCATGGTAACTAGTGCTGGGTGGTGGAAAACACTTCCTTTGAGCTTTTTACTGCTTTTCTTTTTTGAGACAGAGTCTTGCTTTGTTGCCAGGCACCAGGCTGGAGTGCAGTGGCGCGATCTCGGCTCACTGCAACCTCCACCTCCCGGGTTCAAGCAATTCTCCTGCCTCAGCCTCCCGAGTAGCTGGGACTGCAGGTGCTCGCCACCACGCCCAGCTAATTTTTGTCTTTTTTTAAGTAGAGACAGGGTTTCACCATGTTGGCCAGGATGGTTTCAATCTCTTGACCCCGTGATCTGCCCACCTCGGCCTCCCAAAGTGCTGGGATTACAGGTGTGAGCCACTGTGCCTCGCATTTTTTTTTTGGGGGGGGTGGGGGATGGAGTCATACTCTGTCGCCCAGGATAGAGCGCAATGCAATCTTGGTTTACTGCAGCCTTCACCTCCCAAGTTCAAGTGATTCTCCTGCCTCAGCCTCCTGAGTAGCCAGGATTACAGACCCCTACCACTATGCCTGGCTAATTTTTTTTTATCTTTAGTAGAGATGGGGTCTTGCCATGTTGGTCAGGCTGTTCTTGAACTACTGACCTCAAGTGATCTACCCACCTCAGCCTCCCAAAGTGCTGGGATTATAGACATGAGCCACCACGCCTGGCAACACTCAATCTTTTCATTAGCTTCTTTCATAAAAATCTTCATTTACATTTGTCTTCTTG